CCGATACACAACGAAACCTGGCCCCTTCACCAAAAGTGGAGTACGACGAAATTAAAAGCAGAACGGAAAGAAGCCGTCAAGAATGTAGTGCAGAAGCAGCGGAGGGATGCCGCGAAGTCTCAGCTGAGAGAAAAGACTCAGTGCATTACCTTCTCAGTCGGGGACCAAGTAAAGTGTAGAGACAGGAGATATGCTGTCGGATGCGGGCCAGGTTCACGCAAACTCCTTCCAAAGTGGGAAGGACCATACACAGTCACAAAAAGACGGGGTCAAGTATATACCATCAGAAGAGGTGACAAACAAAAACGAGTTAACGCCAGTCAGATCCAACGGTGGGTGCATTGGGACAAGCCGGTCTGTAACAATCATCAACTAGAGGATGCATCACGCAGAGGGTCGGGGTTCGATCCTCTGCCAGCGCACACCCGATATCTATGGTCGGCCTGTAAATTTGGGCTACCGATATCCATGCTGAAAATTCCATACTTGTACTGAAAATACAGTGTGGAATCAAGCTGTAATCAAAATAAAATAAATATATATCTCCTTATATATGAATTTCTCAGAGGCTAACGACCACCTCATTGTTTATTATGTGCGTAAATTTTTATTTAAAATTATAACAAGTTTTGATTTCCTCTAATTCCTGAATTATGCTTGCATGTGCTAATCTTTCTTTGACACGGATGCATTCCATACATTTTGATGTTACTTTGTATCCTTATTATTGTTACTGTTATTTTTTGTTATCATTACTGTTAACATTATCAATTATTTATATTGCATATATTCATGTAATCATTCACCCTGACAGTCGCGAATAATCTACACTTTGCATTTCCTACCCTTCTTTCATTGTTTTGTTTGATTAACTCTTTTTATGATGTTTAATGTTTTTATAAATACTTCTTGCTTAATTTTTTTTCGCCATGGTGCTGGCTTTTTAATGTATACAGTCTATGTTCACATGAGTTGGATGACTAGTTTATCAGGAATATATTTGCAAACGTTGTATGCCGTTGTAGTCATATGTATAAAAACATTTGTCATTCATTCTATAATCATAGTATTTATATATATATATTCGAGTGTAAGGTATATCTACAGGATTTGACTAGTTCCAATGCATCCTATTTATATGTAGTAATGGTTTTCACTACTACATTCATTAAATGAAAACCTTTAAAATGGAGAGAAAAGATGGGAATATTTTTTTGTATTTCATAGTACAAACAAAAGGCAAAACTAATACTTATCAGTGTATTATGGGAAATGATTGTGTTTGTAAGCTTATCTATTTATCATAAAAGTGGTATGCAAATATACATACTAAGTAGGAAATCTAATGACATTGGACATCTCGAGCACCTTTATTTATTTATTTATTTGACGTAGTATATAACATTGACTTGAATGACTCATATCATGTCTGTTTAGACCATTAATTAATAACCAATCACAGGCCAGAGTTATCAGCCTAAACAGTCTAAATTTGAATTTACCTACAGGCGTGTGAATCTTCATTCTTGTTATGAAGGTTCAAGCATCCAAAATGTATCACCCAGACAAATAAAAAAATTCTTAGTTGACATGTATTTCCTTAATTCTAAATGATTTTATTCATTTTTGAAGAAAATTCTACATTTGATTTCAGCTATCATCTGTCAATAGGTCGTATGAAGACTGACTGACCAGAACAGAACAGTAAAATATTCAGTGGCAAATATTTTTTTCTCTACTGGTGCAATATCTCAATTTTTACCGCTCATGGTACACATTTTATAACAGACAGATCATGTGCGTCGGTGGCACAGTGGTTAGGACTCTCACCGACCATGCACATGGTCCGGGGTTCCATCCCTTACGGACGAACACACGATATCTATGGTCGGCCTGCAAAATTTGGGCTACCGGTATCCATGCTGAAAATTCCATACTTGTACTGAAAATACGGTGTGGCATCAAGCTGTAATCAGAATAAAAAAATAAAAAAATAACTGCTACCATCCCAAAATGGGTGCTATTATACACCACTTATCGTGTACTGCTGACATTTACATGTCACAAACTCGCTTTACTAGGTGGTTTTAGTTTCTAACCTTAAAATTGATAACCAGCATGTTAAATATATATATATATACATCACCCTGGTAACTAAACTTGTCATAGCTATCAGACATGCATTTGGCATTAGCATCGCTATGCTGAGGGATTTCCTGTCGCTCACCAAGTGTATAACCAATCAGGTGTCGGTATTGTGGATAGGTGCTTTCCTTCTTAATTAAATGGAAACCTGATTGATTACTCACTTAGTTGCTGAGATATCCTTTAAAGTCACTCAGAAATAGGAGGCAAGCACATATCTCTCTTTTTATTTGCAAATATTCATTCGCATGGTGTTGATTGATTTGAAATTAGGTTACGAATCGACATCATTTAGAGAATTACTGAAAAGTTAGTGAGTACTAGAAAGATATTTTGCCCTAGCTGGCGACTCTTCACAGCATGCACCCTGGGATCGTTTGGTTATAAGGCAATCCTGTTGACCATTCCACCAGTTGAAGAGAACTCAGTGGTCCATGAGTTATAACTTGTGCTAATTCGTGACATACAGAACCAGCACCAGCCAATGTCATCGGTGAACACCTGACCCTACAGTCAACTTTGGTCACGATTTCTCACTAGAACTCTGGGCAACTTCATCCTGTATGAATCACTAGTGAGCATTAGATTAATTTTCAAGTTCTATCATTTTATTCGACTAAGTTCACCAATTAATTAGAAGTTATGTAATGACTCATCGCCTTTAATTTTCTATATGAAAAGTAATCAAAATGATTAGCATAAAGCATCATATTTTACATATTCACTTCATGCTGTAATTGAAGCTATTAATTGAGATTTGTTTAATAGATTAAGTGTTTTTAACATTTTTGCATTTCTAGCTATCAATGGGAAATCTGTAAACTATAGTCCACAGAACACATCAACTTCACTATCTGGTACAAATGGAACATTAAATAAGGCTCAATCCAAAGACAGTATTACTGCTTATTCAAATTGTTTTCCTATGTCTAATTCAGATCAAAACGATGATCAATTTTTATATAATCAAATTCAAGATGATATACTCATTAAAATATTGAATACAATACAACAGTTAACGGCTAAACTTGATGCTGATGCTAATCCACCAGAGGTTGGCGACTGCCAACTTGAGTCGTCATAAAGCCCCAGCACAGTGGACAGGCCTATATGTGGTATACCGCAGAGTAACGGGCAACACCTACGAAATCCAAGGAGACAACGACAACCCCCAGAGAATGATAGTGCACTTCAACCGTCTGAAACCGTCCAGACCAAACCGATAGGCACCGACGAAAATTCCGCCTATTCTTGATAACCATAATAATCATGTGTTTCTTTCTCTTGCAGCGACGATGCCGAGGCTGGGAGAAAGAAAAACTGAAGTCGCTGGGGACAGCTTTTTGGAAGCGTGGGGGTCTTGTAGTGGTTCAAATTTGAAAAAAAACGTCAGTCCAAATACCGGTGGACGCCGAACTGTAAAAGCCTAGCTCTTTGTATCAACAAGCATATATTTTTGGACTTCTGCTGGTGTAATTCAGTGTCAATTATAAAGTGCTTTTCCTCAAATCGTGTTCTGCTTCTTCGCTCTACCCTGCGTGCTTGACCTGTAAAATTGTTTGTGTTGTTCTATTAAGTGCTCAAGGTTTAAGGCGCGATAACGTTTATCCTCACGCTTTAACTTGGCGGCTTTCTGATACCCTGTAAACTGGTTCAAAGGTATGTCCTTGAAAGCGTGTATATGTGTACGATCAACGTAACATATATGTGCATATACATATAGGAAAATATATGTACGTAATGTCCTAAGTGAGTATTTACACTAATCGCCTATTACCAGCATATTGGTACTTCATTCCCAGCCTGGATGTACGTGGAGATTTCCAAGTAGGTTTCTTCCAAATAAAACACTTTGGGGCAAGCTTAGGAGACTTTCTGGAGTGGGGGGGGGTGATGCACTTCCTCGAGATTTTCGCATTGGGTTGCCTCTAAATCGCCCTAAAATCTTAAGTGGGTCTCGGTCTTCTTATTTCCTTTCCTTGTGTCTCAATTATATTACGTCTAGTAGTTATGACTTAAAGAAGTCAGAACTGAATATATGCACACCTCCTGTTCTTACAATTTGGGCATCTACATTGTTATCAGTATGATTGACTGTATTTGAAAATCAGCTCGCGGCCTACAATACAGGCATGTCACGGGTACATTGTCAAGAAGGCAAGTTGTAGTTTTCCTTCATTGAGAACTGATTTACATAGCTAGCTCCGTATGTAAGTTCGCAGGCAAGGAAATGTGTTGCATGTATTTCGTGACGGCTGCCGGCAAGACTGTCTGCTTGCTTGTTGGGCAAGGCGGAAGTCCGTCGTTGAGAGCCAAATGTCTAGTTTACACAGACCCCCTTGTATAGAGAGCAAGAAGTATATGTATGGTTCTGGAGAGCTGAAAACCACTGTATTGTCTCGACTTGCAGCTATTGTAAAACCTAGATACAGTCCTAGTGTGACATGTAATCATAAATGATAGTGTCCAATGATTTGAGAGGAGTGAATTGCTTACATCTTAACTCGACTATGGATAAAATTAACTTTGATAAAGTCTTACAGTGCTATACAGTAATATTAACTGCTGAAGTTTCGAACGTAATTTATTGCTCATAATCACATGAAGGTACTTACACAACTTTTAATCTTCGTTTACATACATGAGTAAATATTGACTAGACATATGAATAAAATCAGTAAAAGTTCAATAGACATGCGTGAAACAGAAAGGAAGATAAAGTGCATTCTGAAACAATATTAGTGTTATCAATAAAACATAATAGGATGGGAAATAATATGCATTTTAATAAAATCAATAACTTGTCAGAGTGTTATAATGTGAATTGAAATACACTTTATCATTATTTACTATCCTCTGATTCGACTGGTAATAATGTCCTCCATATCTGCGGTATTTGTGTTGAGTCAGTCGCTTCTATTGCATGTGTTGGGTGTAGACTCGATGAAGGAGGATTCAGTCAGTCAGTCTGTCTGTTTTCGACATGGAACTCTGCACATATGTGCGGCAGTTCAAGTCGCCACACTCCATGTGGCACACAAAGGAAGAGAAGAAAGTAGGAGAAATGCATAATATAGACGGTAAACAGAGGTGTGAGACAAAGGAGGATTCAGTAATCAATCTCTCACGCTCTCCACCTACCTACATTACTTTTTAGAATTTTGACTCTGTCCCACTCTGCCATTCCTCAGTTCTAGTCTCTAAGCCTGTCTTTCGCATTTTACAGTCAGGAGTATATTCGGGCACCCCGAATATATGGTATAGTTTTGTTTGACATTATTCAGAGTTTTCTGAACACCTTATGCGGAAGTCTTGTTGTGTTTGGCATGCGATTCGCTCCTGTCATATGTGAGACGATGCTGCAGGACTGGTGTGTGACGACTCCCAGATTAATGATAGGGAATGAGTGGGTTGACCGCTTTACTTATTTTCGAAGTTGCACCAACCCCAATGGACCGACTTCTGACAAAACCTCATCATGGATACAAAATTCTTGTGATGCATTTGCCAACTTCACCTCTGGCGTAGATGTGGTATGTGACTATCGATCAAAGGATAGGTGTTCAGCGCAGCATTTCGTTCATTCCCTTCATGGCTGCGAAAAGTGGTCGGTAAAAGCTTGATACATGAAGTGGATGGTTGTCTTTAACTACAGGTGTTTGAATTGTATCTCCCGTGTTTTGTTATTATTTAATGTTATTTCCTTGTATTCTGAGTGGGACATCGGGCTCCAGCAGTACATCTCTATTTCACGTTCCTCTCTGCAGCCTTTTCCAGTTAGCTCCGCGTTAACCCATAAGTTTTTCATTTCTTCCTTATATGATTTTTTCCATGACACCCTCGAACGCCGAGCTTGCTTTCAATTTGAGTTCCACTCGAGAACCAGGTGAGCGATGTCGCTCAACGGTCCAATCTATCTCCATTTCCTTCGGCATATTTCCTGGACTATGGGTTCTCGGTTGGTTCGTCTCCAGAGATTCTTGCAACTAATCGTTTCTGGCCATCTGATGACAGTCTGCAGCAGCCTGTTGGAAATGCTTTTGTTGACTCACTAAGCCTGAACCATATAGAAGCACTGAGTTGACAGTAGTGTTGCAAATCCGAATCTTGTTCTTTATGCTGATTGCAGCAGGTTTCCACACTGATTTCAGAATAGTCCAGTTCTGTCTTGCTTTTCCAATCCTGGGTTTGACATCCTCATCTGTGCCTCCTGTAGTTGAACCAATGCTCCCTAAATAAGTGGAAGAGGCGTGACTACTTTTAGCTTCCTCCCATTGATAGTGACTGGTGTTTGTTGTTGTTGGTAAATGGTGTAATATAGTGAGTAATATTAAGGTTAGGTGTAGAACGTTAGGTAAAGAGGGCAAGTCAATCGATGAGGTTGTGAAGCTGCATCGATCCAGACGTCAGGGATACGCCGAGCAGAGTTAACGGACATATGATAAGGTCATAAAAGCGTTAAGAGAGGTCAAATCAAAACCTAGCATTGATCGATTTTTCTGATTTTTTTTCTCAACCTTTCCATGCTATATGGGGTGTGACAACTTGAAGTGTAGCATATCTGTGCAAAGTCCCACGTAGGGAAGTCAATGAATCAATTAGGTAAGCAACAGAAATTATAAAAAGCCGCAAAATAATAATAATATGCTCTATTCCAAAACAGTAATTGTGATACAGAATTGAACTCTCAGCATTTTTACTACAGTATTGCATCCAGTTAGTACATAATCAATTGATAGAATTCTACATAGATTAAGGAAATCTCAGTTCATTATGACAACAACATATTGGCATGTCGGTAGCAAAGCCAAAGTTGAAGTGATTGAAAGTGTTAGAAAAGTAACTGCTATCATATTTACTGGCGTAAGCGAGAGAAAGAAACAAAGCAGCACATAACAGAAAAAAGACAGAGAGAAAAGGAAAAGAAAGAAAACGTTGTATCTATAAATGATATGTGTTGGAAAGACGAGGTTAAGTTGTACTACTGAATATTTAATGAATTAAAGGTGTCACGCCTGATGCTTTCTTTATCGCACAGAACACGAGCTAAGTAGGGTATGGTTGAGTTTTTGTACTTGCTGGTGCTAGTATATAGTTTCCTATATAGGCCTCTGGTTTTGCCTGATGAAATGCAAGGGCAAAGTTGTGAGTGAAGAGGGTAGTGTGAGTTAGATAAAATGGATTTGGCCCATAATATTTAGTTTATCAAATAGTTACTTGAAGTAATCCCAGTGTGTTTAAAAAATCGAAACAAAATTCTTCTGAACGCTTTGTGTGTAAGCTACACCTCCTTCAGCAGAATTATTCGGATTTTAATGATCATCAAACCGATGATATGTAGGTCTCTAATATGAGCAGTTTTGATCGAAAATGATTATCCGAAAAAGCTGCTAAACAACATTTCCAATAGAAATGGATGAAGAAGGAGGTAAGATTGAGAAATCTTGGGTGTCGACGATAGCCATTCCACATCGAAAAGACATCACTGAACAACCTCAAAGGATACTTGCTTCACATAATGATTTAGTCTATTTAAATCCCTCTAATTCTTTAGAGGAGGCTGTAGTTAGTGTCAGATATTTATTTGCTACAAAACTCCTGTGTCTATATGCTAACCTGTTTTGAATGTGAAGCTTGCTATATAGAGGAAAGAAATAGAAAGACAAAGGTCAGAGTGGATGAACACAGACTGTGCACAAAACGTCTATGTAGGAAGGAAGTTGAATTGAAGAGTCTGGACGAAAGACCAGCTATAGAAATGCATGTTTTAGAAGTGGTCATAAGATCGACTTTGATAATATCGAAATACTTGGAAAAGGCTTTGATCTAAAATACGGTGTGCTTCTCGTCGCTTTGCCTTCTCACTAGTCTATACTGTCTACTTGTTTTACTACTGACAGTGTTGTATACTTTGGATTTTGTAGGAACCTCTCATCTGAGGTCTATTCTACAACCATTGCAAAGCTTCTACCAGTAGACACGACTCCAGCAGTGAACACTGTTGTGGATTATATTAATAATTTGTGTTGGTGGACTTTAACTGATAATATCGAGATACAAGGGAAAAGCTTCAATTCACATTGAGAAAGGCTGACGTCTGAAACCCTGCATAATTTAACCACATCGAACGCAATAAATAGAGGAAACGAATAGACTGATCAACTGTATGGCGAACTCCGATTAAGCGAAACCGAAGAAAAGTAATCTGTTACCATTTCTGACCTCTGAACAATTATCATGATTCTCACGTGAGATCACGTGTTTTCCAAGCAGCAAGTAATGTGTGAGTAATTCTGCTGAACAAGCTGTGGCTTACACAGCGAAACGTCCAGAAAAATCTTGTCTTGGTTATCTCAACACACTGGGATTATTTTAAGTGATTTCATAATGATTCAATCTGACTCGACGCTGAAATTATTCCAGGGAATTCGCAAATTCTCCGAGCTGGTATTTCTAACATTAGTGTGTTTCATTTTGTAAATTTTTTCCCTTATATCCATATATGGTGTCACGTAGTTATTTTTTCATCTTGATTATTTACACTAAAGCACGATTTCCACATTTTGTTTTCTGTCTTTACAACATGTGTGCTTTTCCTGCATCATTTTCATGTCATTTCATTTTTCACTATAGGATTTTATAAAATGACTGATGTCACAGAATCCCGGAGATGTTTCCGTTGTCGCGTTTTATTTAACACTGACGATGAGTTTTGGCATCACATTCTAAATGTGGATTGTGATGATTCAATAAGTGCCACCGCGGTTCAGACTTCGTTGCCGTGTAGTATACACCCAAACGATGAATCACAATCGGTATGTGCATCAGTCAGTGGCTCTTATGTTGGTGGTCTTCGTGATGAGAATTTTCAGGCAAAAGAAGATTTCCAAATGAAGTCCACTTCGCCAGAACACCAGTGTAAAATAGATTCGTCTCCTGGAGCACTTGGAAGAAGTACAGATACACCTGTGTTGAGTACTGAGTCATCCTTATTCTGTGATGTTTGTCAAGTACCATTTACATCGATTAAAAATAAAGAAGAGCATGAGAATGGTAAAATGCATAAAAAGCAAATTGCATTGAAGTCAAAATGCACTGGTCAATTGAATATCAGTCAGTCATCAAGCGTTATTGATGACGTACAAGAAGGTTTGTCAAAGATTCACATTCACTGGCCAGCAGCAACACAGAGTTCTATGAACACCAACTCACCTGTCAACGAAACTGTTGATACCGAGCAACAACCCACACTGCGAAATAGTGGTCAAGAAGAAATCATCCGTCTCCTACGTCGATTGTGCCTGACGGAAATATTAATCCTACTTCGTGATCTGGATGGTAATCCACATATTAGTTCAAGAAATGATTCACCTGAAACAGAACCGACATCCAGTATTAATGAACGAGATTTAATCGAAATGGTGAGAACTATCTGTCGTGAGGAGTTGCGTGAAATCCTACCGGCAGCTTTACAACATGCTTCTCACCAGTCCAGAAATGTCAACACGTAGTCTGGTTGTCAACTGCAGGGAAGTAAACCTCCTTCAATTATGTAAATAACAATTTGACTTATTTTGATTTTCTTACATATTTTAAAAGAGTGATGATTATTTTTGAGCTATAACATTTTCAATTACCGATTAAAATTTCTAGATATCATTTCTGTTTTGTGATCTAAAGATAGAGTGTTATTGCTTCACCTATGATTGTGATGCGTTCTAGGCGTTGGGAATGAAATACATGAGATATTTAAGTTTTAGTCTGTCGTAAGTGTAATTAGTTTTCTTCTGAAGTGAGTGTAAAATTTACTGATCTGTTTGACAACTAAATTAAGTAGTCCACCGCTTCTTTCTTGTTGCTGTCACCGTCTCACAGATTTACAGTTTAAGTCCAAATGATGGAATGATCACTTGATTATTAGGTTAGAATAATTCGTGTTGTCGTGTAAACATTTAAGTTGTGACTTTGATGCTTTTATAATCATTGTAGTTTCAAACACACTGTGAAATAAAATGGAATCGCTTGACACAGCTAATTTGGTCTGACTTACTTTGTGAAAAATTATCACGGGACTAGAGTGTAAGAAAATAATTTGTATCGGTAGATATCATTGGTTTATTACTTTTGTAGTAAATTATTGTTGAAAATATCTACAAACGAGGTTTGGTGAAGTCCTATACCGGAATTGCATAACAGTTTTGTGAGAAGACGGATTTAATGATATGTTGTGTCACTAATAATATATTTTATTATGCATCTTGTCCAACTGAAGTTGACGGTATTACGTGAAATAAGTTAGAAATACCGTTATGAATACGAATTGTGTACACTAAGTTTTCCTGTTGTGAGCGTTTTGATAGCGAATAGGTTGGAAAAGTCGGACAACAGACTATGAGATAGATCCAGAGTTTAATTGCTTTGATGTACAACAGAGTGAGGCATTGATAAGAAAAGATGGAAGGTTAACTGAGAATGTGTCAGTCTTTGACACCATCTGGTTACTCGTTCTGAAATGACTTAAGGTATGCGATTCATTTTGATTGTGTTTAGCTCTACGCATTTGTAGGCTAGTTAGTGTGCGATGAAGACTGATGCAAAGGTGCATCTTCGGTTTGTGATCATGACTTTGCTAGGTCGTGTTCAAATGGCTTGGAGAAATATCCAATGTAGTCTCTAGACATTGCTTATACGTGTGATGTAAGATCAATATTCTTAAGGTTAAAATGTTGGTAAGGCTGCACGAAGTGTTGAGACTACTTCTCTGAGGAGAACAAGTAGTTGTGCAGGATGTTGTAAGCTTGATGGAGAAGATTCATAGCTCAGGTGAATGATATTGATTTAGTTGCGAAGATGTCACTAGATCTGTAGACCTCTTTAAATTGTAGTATGCTGTGGAGATGTTGTCTGGAAAGACAGTGAGAGTTTCGCAACTAATCCATCCAGCTGAGAGAAGACGATTGCACGAAGGGTTGTAAGTGTTTCGAATAGATTGAGGAATCTGAAGTCAACTTAAAATCTCCTCAGATCGATTTTCATGCTAGTCATATACAGCGGAAGAGGGGAACATCATGATAGACAAGACTTTCTTGGCAATGCCTAGTCAGAAGCCAAATGAGCGGAATATAAAGAAAAGCGAGCAACTGAAACTAAAACAACTACAGGATATAGGTCAACTATCATTACAAGAACAGATAAAGACATTGCCACGGTTGTTATGAGTTCTGTATGTCATAAGAAAGCTATGGAGCACCTTAACATTGGACAGTATGAAAAAGTCAACATGACCAAGTCAAGGGCAACATTGAATAAACTAGAGGCTGAAAGAAGCAAAATGTTACAGTCAATATAAGAGAAAATCGGAGTGTTACTTAAGTTTACACTGGTTCCAAAAAGTTTCAGTGCCTGCAGATTTTATGGATTACCAAAAATGCACCAACCAGATGTTCCATTACGCCCAGATTTGGATTATACTAATTCTCCTACCTACAAACTCCCCAAATACATTTCACGAATACTAACTCCATGTGAAATCAAAGTGGAATACGGAGCGAAGAATTTGTATGAATTTAAGAGAAAGAACACCCCTACTTCTGTTAAAGAAGATGAAATAATAGCAAGTTTCGATGTCTATTCATTACTCAGGAATGTTCTTACTAGGGATTCTTTAAGCAGTGCTTATAATTTACTTCGTTCTGACAGCGAACTGAATGCTCGTTGTACTTTAAATCCAGATGAAATTATGAAGGCATTGGAAATGTGTCTATGTTCCACGTTATTTACATTCAGAGGGATTCTTTACCACCAAACGGAAGGCATTGCTATGGATTCCCCGGTGTCTCAGTTAGTAGCCAACCTATTAATGATGGACACATTGGAAACTAATGCAATTATGAGATGCCCTACTCCTCCAGAAATGTGGTTAAGATATGTAGATGATACCTTTGTCATAATCAGACTCCGTAAGTTGAATGAACAGTTTCATTTAATAAACGATATGTCAAACACTAATTTTTCAGAAGAGGTTGAATCCAGCGCAAATGATTTGGCTTCCCTGGACCGTTTAGTAAAAGGACAACTAGATGTAAACTTAAGATAAACACTTTCAGATAGCCTACACATTCGGACAGATGCCTAGATTACAATTCAGTACACCCTTGTACCACCAAAGTAACTGTGGCTCAACGTCCGGTTACTGAGGTGGACGAGATCAGCAGGGAACTAAAATTGGTTCAGCCTACTCTTGAGTCAATCAATTGCTAGAAAACCTTTATTAAAATGAATTTAAAAAGTTAAGATAAAGATGAATCGAAACCTGTTGCTAAGACCTGGAGTTAGTAGAGTGGTGATTCCTTATCTCAAAGAAACATCGGTTGAAATAAAAGCGAATCTCCAACAGTTATGACATAATAATGTCCTTTCGTGCTCATCACTGGTGGAGGTCAAGAGTAAAATAGAAGGAGACAACTAACAGAATTGTGTGTAACAGTTCAATTCTGGGGACTGTGACGCTGTGTATGTAGGAGAAAATTCCAGACAGGTAAATGTGAGAGTAAAAGAGCATAAACAATATCTGAAGGTGGTTCCAAAGACCTCTTCAAATGTGAAGAAGCTAGGAAACATATCGGCGAGTGCATTACACTCGATAGAATGTGAATACAAGATCGACTTTGATAGCACCAAGCCTCTACAGGAAGGTTTTGTTCGTATAAAGACTGACTGCAGTAGCCCTACATGTATCAGTGAATCCTCAAAGCTTGAACAGACGTGAAGGTGTGGTGTTAGCTGATGCATGGCAAGTCCTGATGAATAAATAAAAAAGTGGATATGCATCACTAATTAATCATACGCGGTCTGAATTCCCGATCGTCTATATCTTCTTATGGAGAGGCTAACAAATGTTTTACAACTGTTTACCCATGCACACACTATTGCATACCTCCTATACATATATTTTTCATATTCATTTATCTATCACCATGATCTTTAGTCGAACGGGATCACTAAAACCCTGACGCAAAAGTATACACTTCACAGTGTTTAACAAAAGTAGACTAGTAATTGTATGTTTATGGTCAAATTCTGGTCACAGTTCATGTAGTTTTGTTAATTATATAGTAATGTCTGTTCATGAATTATATGATTGGACAAAGTTATTAAAAACAAGGGATGTCCTTTTCATATATAAACCTCTGTCGTGTTAATTTCGATCAGCTTCCCCGAAGAAGTTCAGGGCAGTTTGCCGAACGAAACGTGGGAATTACTTATTTCAATTTTTCTGAGATTTTACAAATATAAGTTTTACATATGAGTTTCAGGTTGTTTCCCCCAAAGGATAATCTATCGATCCAATGGATACTCGAAAAGTTCAAATCATGGCGATTCCGAGGTCAAAATAAACCTTTGAAACTTTTTAAGATGGATTTAATACCAGAAGTAATTGCACCGACCAGTTTAACAGTTTCTCCAGAAGCATTTTTAGCAACATGAAATATAAGGGAAACCGGTGGACATCGAATCAAATGCCATTTTTTTTCCTGGGAATCAACGTTATCTCCGAGGCATTATCTAGCTGAAGTTCAACTGGGTGATCATTTGAAGATACGTCAATCCTAGACATGTACATATAAAACATTGTAACCTGTCTTGGTCTGTTTCCTCGATATGGAAATTGACCTAATACTCGGTGGATTTGAATCAGTACTGTTAAGGTGAGGCCTGTATATGGCTCCATATTTTTGGTGACTTCTACGCTTGTTCTTCGCATTATCATGTACAACTGTAATGCCAGGCAGAACCAACTGTAGTACCCCTGTACCAACTGTAAACATACTGGGCATTAAACGAATACGAACAACCGCGTACCATCCTAGTTCCAACGGTATGGTTGAACGACTTCATCGACAACTCAAAGCTGCGCTCGCTGCTTCTTTGACTCAAAATGACTGGTCAACCAAACTCCCACTGGTACTGCTTGGTATACGATCTGCTCAAAAGAAAGATATTGGCTGCTGTGTTTCCGAACTAGTCTATGGAACAACATTACGACTACCAGGAGAATTTTTCACCCCAGGTAACCAAGTTCCACAAGATATGACTGGTTATGTGCACCAGCTAAAACAACACATGAACGAGCTCAAGATATCACTTCCACGCCAGCAGGAACGAACGTCATACATCCCGCCACAACTGACAGATTGCACTCACGTCTTCGTCAGGAGAGAGGGTGTACAACGACCACTTCAACCCGCTTATGATGGCCCATTCAAAGTTCTAAATAGAAACGATAAAGTTATCACGATAGAACGACTGAATAAAGCAGAAGCTGTCAGTGTCGACAGAGTCGAACCAGCGTTCATCGACGATTTCGAAGCCAACGATAAAGACCAGCTGAACGAAGTGCCAACACCTACACCCACGCAAGCTTCAACGTCGCCACAGAAGCCTATGAAAACTACACGCTCTGGTAGGAGAGTTCATTAGCCTAAACGTTATGTGCAAATCATCAAAATAT